CATACTTTTGTTCACTTTTCCATCCTTCTTATCCGCCAAGTATCTAGGGCAGTTCCACTTCCAATGACCATTTCCTTTGCAGTAGAAGCACTCAGTTCCAGGCTTGGATCTAGCTTTGGGCTTCTTCATGGGAGCAGCAACTTGCTTGCTATTCTTCTTTGAAGTTCCTCTTTCTTTCCCTTTGCCCTTTTCTTTGAAACTAGTGATCTTGTTAACCATCAACACTTGATGTTATTTCTTGATTTCTACTCGATTTCAGCATCGCGAAGGGCTTGGGAATTACTTCCGTCATCCCTTGCATATTATAGTTCATCACTAAGTTCTAGTAACTTGGTGATAGTGACTAGAGAACTTTTTCAATTACTATCTTATCTGGAAGATTAACTCCCACTTGATTGAAGCAATTGTAGTACTCAGACAATCTGAGTACATGCTCACTGGTTGAGCTATTCTCCTCCATCTTGTAGGCAAAGTACTGTCAGAGGTCTCATACCTCTTGACACGGGCATGAGTATGAAATACCAATTTCTACTCCTAGAACATCTTATATGCTCCGTGATGTTCAAAACATTTTTTGAAGTCCCGATTCTAAGCCGTAAAGCATGCTGCACTAAACTATTAAGTAGTCATCATACCGAGCTTTGTCAAATGTTCATAACGTGTGCATCTGCTCCTACAATAGGTCCGTCACCTAGCGGTGCATCAAGGATTCTTCTGTGTAGCAATGAGGATAATCCTCAGATCACGGAGCTAGTCCTCATCATTGCTACTATCATCTTTCAACATAGTTCTTCTCTAGGAACATATCAAAAATAAACGGGGAGCTACATCGCGAGCTATTGATCTACAACATAGTTATGAAAATACTAACAGGACTAAGTTCATGATAAATTAAAGTTCAATTAATCATATTACTTAAGAACTCCCACTTAGATATACATCCCTCTAATTATCTAAGTGATCACGTAATCCATATCAACTAAACCATGTCTGATCATCACATGAGATGGAGTAGTTTTCAATGGTGAACATCACTATGTTGATCATATCTACTATATGATTCACGCTCGACCTTTCGGTCTCAGTGTTCCGAGGCCATATCTGCATATGCTAGGCTCGTCAAGTTTAACCCGAGTATTCTGCATGTGCAAAACTAGCTTGCATCCGTTGTATGTGAACGTAGAGCTTATCACACCCGATCATCATGTGGTGTCTCGGCACGACGAACAATAGCAATGGTGCATACTCAGGGAGAACACTTATACCTTGAAATTTAGTGAGAGATCATCTTATAATGCTACCGTCGAACTAAGCAAAATAAGATGCATAAAGGATAAACATCACATCCAATCAATATAAGTGATATGATATGGCTATCATCATCTTGTGCTTTTGATCTCCATCTCCAAAGCACCATCATGATCACCATCATCACCGGCTTGACACCATGATCTCCATCGAAGCATCGTTGTCGTCTCGCCAACTATTGCCTCCATGACTATTGCTACCGCTTAGTGATAAAGTAAAGCAATTACATGGCGATTGCATTTCATACAATAAAGCGACAACCATAGGGCTCCTGCCAGTTGCCGAGAACTCTATTACAAAACATGATCATCTCATACAATAAAATTTAGCATCATGTCTTGACCATATCACATCACAACATGCCCTGCAAAAACAAGTTAGACGTCCTCTACTTTGTTGTTGCAAGTTTTACGTGGCTGCTACGGGCTAAGCAAGAACCGTTCTTACCTACGCATCAAAACCACAACGATTTTTGTCAAGTGTGTTGTTTTAACCTTCAACAAGGACCAGGCGTAGTCACACTCGATTCAACTAAAGTTGGAGAAACAGACACCCACCAGCCACCTGTGTGCGAAGCACGTCGGTAGAACCAGTCTCGCATAAGCGTACACGTAATGTCGGTCTGAGCTGCTTCATCCAACAATACTGCTGAATCAAAGTATGACATGCTGGTAAGCAGTATGACTATTATCGCCCACAACTCTTTGTGTTCTACTCGTGCATATAACATCTCCGCATAGACCCAACTCGGATGCCACTGTTGGGGAACGCGGTAATTTCAAAAAAATCCTAAGCACACGCAAGATCTATCATGGTGATGCATAGCAACGAGAGGGGAGAGTGTATTCCACGTACCCTTGTAGACCGTAAGCGGAAGCATTATGACAACGCGGTTGATGTAGTTGTACGCCTTCATGATCCGACCGATCCTAGTACCAAAAGTACGGCACCTCCGCGATCTGCACAGGTTCAGTTCCGTGACGTCCCACGAACTCTCAATCCAGCTGAGTGTCGAGGGAGAGCTTCGTCAGCATGACGACATGTGACGTTGATGATGAAGCTACCGGCGCAAGGCTTCGCCTAAGCACTGCAACGATATGACCAAGGTGGAAATCTGTGGAGGGGGGCAACACACACGGCTGAGAGATCAACTTGTGTGTCTATGGGGTGCCCCCTCCCCTGTATATAAAGGAGTGGAGGAGGGTAGGGGCCGACCCTCTCTATGGCGCGCCCTAGGGGAGTCCTACTCCCAGCGGGAGTAGGATTCCCCCCTTCCCTAGTTGGAGTAGGAGAGGAAGGAAGGAGGAGAGGGGGAGGAAGGAAAGGGGTTTTTCCTAGGCCGCCTCCTCCTCTCTCCCACTAAGGCCCAATAAGGCCCATATACTCCCCGGGGGGTTCCGGTACCCCCCTGGTACTCCGGTAAATGCCCGAACTCACTCGAAACCATTCCGATGTCCAAACATAGTCATCCAATATATTGATCTTTATGTCTCGACCATTTCGAGACCCCTCGTCATGTCCGTGATCATATCCGGGACTCCGAACTACCTTCGGTACATCAAAACACATAAACTCACAATACCGATCGTCACCGAACGTTAAGCGTGCAGACCTTACGGGTTCGAGAACTATGTAGACATGACTGAGACTCATCTCCGATCAATAACCAATAGCGGAACCTGCATGCTCGTATTCGTTCCTACATATTCTACGAAGATCTTTATCGGTCAAACCGCATAACAAGATATGTTGTTCCCTTTGTCATCGGTATGTTACTTTCCCGAGATTCGATCGTCGGTATCATCATACCTAGTTCAATATCATTACCGGCAAGTCTCTTTACTCGTTTCGTAATGCATCATCTCGTAACTAACTCATTAGTCACAATGCTTGCAAGGCTTATAGTGATGTGCATTACCAAGAGGGCCTAGAGATACCTCTCCGATACTCGGAGTGACAAATCCTAATCTCGATCTATGCCAACTCAACAAACACCATCGGAGACACCTGTAGATCATATTTATAATCACCCAGTTATGTTGTGACGTTTGATAGCACACTAAGTGTTCCTTCGGTATTCGGGAGTTGCATAATCTCATAGTCATAGGAACATGTATAAGTTATGAAGAAAGCAATAGCAACAAACTAAACGATCATTGTGCTAAGCTAACGGATGGGTCAAGTCAATCACATCATTTTCTAATGATGTGATCCCGTTCATCAAATGACAACTCTTTGTCCATGGCTAGGAAACTTAATCATCTTTGATTAATGAGCTAGTCAAGTAGAGACATACTAGTGACACTCTGTTTGTTTATGTATTCACACATGTACTAAGTTTTCGGTTAATACAATTCTAGCATGAATAATAAACATTTATCATGATATAAGGAAGTATGAATAACAACTTTATTATTGCCTCTAGGGCATATTTCCTTCATGAAGGTGATTTTCTTCAATGATGACGGAGTTGAGGTGGTGACCAAGTGCAAGAGGCACAATGAGGCATTTCCCATGGATCTTTAGGAGGTTATCTCTGCACCAATTGAAGACTTTTGCGTTGGATGTTTAGTAGTGTAAGACTTTGTCACAACTGTTTGTCAACTTAACTGCTTATCAGTGTATGTTTAAGACTCTGGTTTATGCTACACCTGTTATTAGTTGTCTATGTTATTAGTTGTCTATGTTGTGTCTCTGTATGTATGCTCGTAAACTCACACTCCAATAGTGAGGTTATCAAACCACATGCAAGGCATGTAACCAAATAACAACGCTTTGCAACCAAACACCATGACTGTGTTCTGCTCAACCATGGTTTGTTGCATGTTTTCACTCAACCTGACCGAGTCGGGCCACATATGTAAAGTGCACAAAATTCATGTAGGTAACAAAACAGACCCTTCAAGGCCCGAAGGAGTACCACTTCTTCACTTAGGAAAATAATAGTTTTGTTGTGCTTTAAATATCCATGGAAGTTTCTGATATGACATTTGCTCAGTGGATCAAAAGCTATTGTAGACACCAAATTCTTTCAATAAAGGGAGCATAGAAGTAAGAAAAGCATCTGTTCAAAATCTTGCGACGTTGAGGCGCATGCATCGGCACACTAATATGGTACATTCAGACAACTCCAATCATAGTCATAGGGAAGTTTGCGGGTTACCGGGTGGCAGACCCGGTAAGCAGTCTCAAACCTTGATATATGTAAAAAAAAGTTTGCGGGTTATGTTTAGTTTCTGCGCGAATCCATCGTTTTAGTTGTTTCTGGTACTAATTATCTTCAAAGCAGTCTTTCGTTTAAATGGTTGATTGAAAATTATGATCATGTAAATTGCCGGTGGTTAACGTTCTGCTAGGTTACAGTAAGTAATCAACTATCCGATAATTGTGCGTGTATGTGAGCGTCTCCGAGTGTACCGTCTTCAAAATCAACCATCTAATTGTGCGATCCTCTAAAATAAAGATCTAACAGTGCAAAAGATCGAAAAAGATTAAGATTCCAGCACACATGCAGCAGACAGAAACCTGAAAAACAAAGACTAATCCCATATATACGCTCTTTTCTCTCCTTTTAAATTTACAATCTAGACAACACACGCATGCCATACACTCTGTCTGGAGCCACATACAAACATGTCACCGCCACCAAGAACACATGATCTCCATCGACGTCTCTTGCTTCACGGAGGTTCTCACATGACGGAGCAGGCGTTGGGGTTGTCGTCGCTGAACATGGTGGTGAGCCGCTCCTCCTGCGCGGGGCCGGCGCCGGGGCCGCCGTAGCTGGCGACGGGCATGACGGCGTCCACCTTGCGCACGTAGCCCGGGGGCGCCTTTTTGTCGTAGGTCTGCGCGGCGTAGGGGTGCGCGACGAGGTTGTAGGGGATGTATGGCCAGATCTCGGCCTTCTTCCCGGTGGCCTGCACCCGCTTCACCACCTTGTGCGGCTCCACGAACCCCTGCACCGTCACCTTGTACTGCTTCCGGTTGATCTCCACCGACTGCACCCCTGCAAAATACAACAAAATGCCTTTAAATTTTCCAGCATTTACAATTTTTTTGCAAGGATTTTCAAAGGAAAAGAATCAAGAATTTCATCATCAATTTTACAGCATTTTTCTAACCATAATTCCTTGAGTTGTTGATAGGTAGGATATGTGTATGCATACCTTTCATGCTGGAGAGGGCGTTCCTGACTTTAAGCTCGCAGCCGTCGCAGTCCATCCGGACCTTGAGCTCCACCGTCTGGAACTGCTTCCTCTTCTGCTTGTAGCTCCGGCGCCGGCCGCCGCCGCCGAGAAGCTCGGACAAGTAGTCCAGAGTCCCACCCACACCCATCCTCTCAATCCAATTTGTCCTCTCGACGAAAGCAACAAGAAACAGAGTCAAGAAAACACCCAAGGACGGACCGGACGAGTCAGACTCTGTTCTCTTCCTGAATCAGTTGGTCACACAGTCGCACTGACAGCACTACTTGCGCAAAGCTTAGCTAGAGATGAGATGGTTGGAGAGTCGATGGACAAACGATGGGTTGTATGTGTATATATATAGGCCCTTGGCAGTTGTTGGCTGGCTTTGTGGCAAGGCGGTACTCCACCTAGCTAATAAGCTGCCTGCTTTCCGGAATCTGTTTGCTTTGTTTTGTTGCACAGCTAGCGGCGAGCCGGCCGGCCGCCTGCCCGCCTCCGTATTTTTCTGATGCCCGCCAGAAGCTTCCCAAGATACCTTGCCCCTCGCTGTACCTGCATGCACTGTACCTTTTGCTGAATCCCTCCGGTCGACCTCAACCGACTTCAGAAACAAATTGGGGCTTGTAAAGGCAGAGGATAAAGCTAAGCCGTGAGCCGGAAACCGGCCATTGTTAGCAGTAACGTTTCTCCCCCGCGCTAAGCAAGTGGAAAGGGCACGTACGTACGTACCGTGTGCTGGGCGCCTCTTGATTCATTTCTTCTTGCGTGCATGGCTAGCTTGATTCTTCATGCATGAGATGATTTATGAAAGATCAGCGTTGGGAATTCTACTTAAACATTTATCAGCAACTTTACGTGGCGGCGAACGCTGCGAGAATTGCGCAGTGGTATGTTCCTTATGATTGCATTGCATTGAGCTGGCCCCAGCCTCTCAACTGGTTTCAGTTTCGGTTTCCAAAGGGCAATGCATACAGCCTGGACGTGGGTTTTCCACAACAGAAATACTGGTCATGCGTTTGCTGTGTGCCGGTGTGAATGATGGTGCCAGCAGGGAGGGAGGTGCATGCATAATGGGGATCCACATAGTCATCCTAGGACCAATCTGGGGCTGCCAGCTGCCATGAGGTGATGGCTGGGCTGCCGCTCTGCCCCCTGATTGGGTAGCTGGGCCCCACTTTACAGGTCTTACAAAACTCTGTCATGATTGGTGGCCAGGCCAGGCCTCCTTCACCAGCCTCTCTATGTTCCTTCTTGCATACACTATGTCCCTCGATTCACTGAAACCTTTGGGAAAAGAAACCCCTCTTGGACATGCCCTGCATGCTGCCAGAAGTGGTTCACTCATTGCTCGTAGACTCCATTATTATTGGTACTCGTTGTGTTTAGGATAACCATATTCTTAATTTGCATGTCAGGGTCTTGGATTTTCTAATGACGGTTCTGCCTGAATAAGATACTCGTTGTGTTTCTTCATCTGAGAGTGGGCGTTCGCCATTTTGTAATTTTGCTAGAAAACTCGAGATGTTTTCATTTATCCTCCTAATTAAATCACGGACATTATACACAAAAAACAAGTGAACGACAAAGCTCTGAAAGGCTTGGTGTGGAACTCTTGTGCTATCGTATCGGCATGATGTGACGATAACATAGAAGTTTTTGTTAACTATTTTTGTTATCCAGGTGGCCACTTGGAATGCCCATCTAAAAAAACAATTGCATATTTCTAGGTCGGCTTGTGGTACATTATCGTGTGCTCACGAAGGATATGTTGGAAGCTAGAGGTTGGTCTTCCTACTCCGTCATTGACATTTCGGAAGAGTAGGGTAGGGAAATCTCTAAGCTCAAGTATAAATCGTCGATACCATCTACTTGGCCAATGAAATTGTCAGTTATAGGCATTTAGCCTTCTATAGAATTGTCTCCCATGATAAAAATAATTGAGTTTTCCTAGCAATGTGTTTTAGGTTTTCTGGTTTTGTTGTTGCTTTTCTCAGCTGCTTTTGGTGGCCCTTGTTCTTGTAGGTTCTCTTCGTACAGTTCAAGTTTTACACCTAAGAACATAAGCAGAATTCCTACCGTGCATTAGAAGAGAAAAATAGCAATATCTTCAGTGTGGAATGTGTGGGTGTCAAATTGAAATTGTGTGTTTATATCTGATAGGTATAATGCATTATGCGAATGCACATGGAAATAGTCAAAAGAAATCATAATGAGGAAATCTCAATTTCATAAAAATATAATGGCCAGAGTAGTTGATTTGAAAGAAAGGAGAAAACAAACAACCTACAACTAGAGAAAGCTTAAAACATAACCACAAACTCCCGCCCTTTCATACATATGTGATGTTTCGGATACGCCCAAGTCGAACAATATCATTTTAGTTATTCATATGGAAATTATAGAAGTCATATGTATATTTGTTTCAAAAAATAGTACTAGTAATCTTATAAATTTCTTGGTCTTTTACATATATTACGATATTAATTAGTAGCCAAAGTTACATCTTGAAGCCGTGTCATAGTCCAAAACGTCATTTTTTTTAACCTGAAAACAACACTTTTTTTGACAGGGAGGTAGTATATTACATATATCAACCCCCCCTCCAGGATTTGGCTCCGATCATTGAGAGATTCCTGGGAAAAAAATCATTGAGAGAGGACTTGCTGACCAACAAGTCAAATTTAGTGGAAAGTGGCATGACAGAGGAACCATAATCTCACTTGTACCATACTTCAAGATCACAAAATCCATCTTTCAAGTTAGTGGAAGCTACGTCCTTTATCATGAAAATGCATGGTAAACTAGTGAACTTAGACGATCTTCTAGCATCCTTCTGTTTGCTAAAACTTGTAGTTTTGAACAATGACACAATTTTTAAAAACAAAATTTTGACCACTATTTTCTGTTACTATATTTGTAAAATACAAAATAATTATATCTTCTAACTCTACTATTTGAGAAATTCACATACATGATTTCAATTGTCAAATCAAACTATATTTATAGATATTAGTAGTGAAAAAATTGAAAGTATGACAATATTTATATCATAAATGGCAGCTTTCAGGAAGGGGTTATATATTTCAAACCCATAGAATAACTAAGTGGTGAACATAGACACATCACACATAGTACCTGTTGAACCGTTTTGGCTTCTGGGTCACTAGGAGACCAACTTAAATTGTCAAAAAAAATTGAAAAGACCTCACATGCACGTACATGTAGATGCGATCTGCATACAATATAAAAATTCATTTGTGTGCCGCACAACAATAAATGTCTGGATCTATATATAGTATTGAAGAGTAGATCCATCATATATCCACATACTTGTTACTTTTGTGTAGCCCTCAAAGAAACATGTTTTGTAAAATTTACTGAATATATAATGGGAATGTATATGCACTTCTTCAAAAATAATAATTTCATATATTTTCAAAATGCATTTTATCTTTCTTTTTTCTTAAAAAAGGACAATTGACCCCAACTCATTTTATGTTTTTCGTATGGTACCAAGCTACATTTGTAGAGGTGTCGGCATGACAAAGGAACCATGATTTTTAATACATCTAGAAGTAAAATAAAGATGAACCGAAAGTTGCAGAAAAAATCCATCTTTCGAGTTAGTGAAAGACTGAAAGCTACTCTCGTTTACCCCATATTGAAAAGTAAACTAATATGATTGTGACACTGACTTGGAACCTAAGGTGGAAATGTGAAAAGACCCTAGCTACTCATCTAAAGCATGGTAGTTTACTTTGAAGGTGATGCCTAACCTCTTTAATTCCCAACCGGCCGCCCCTCTTTTGACCAATTCTGTTTCCACTTCCTTTGGAGAAATGTTGGCATTGATCCTGTTGATGTGGCACCTACAATAGCAATTAGCGTTAAGTAGCAGGATAATTGAAGGTGTCTGCAACTACAAGTTATTTGCAATTACATAAAGCTAGCAGAAGTGAACTTAAATATAATATCTTTTTCATAACGGCTGTCACTATTGAAACAAAACAATCAGCACTATATTTGCGAGATAGTGACCAATAAATAATTGGACATTGGTCAAAGAGATCATATGTCTCTATTGATTCGGAGGTGCTATAGTGCCCACTGGTAGTCAATTTTCATGACTCATGTGAATACTAACCTTATTTAGAATAAATTCTTTCGATCCAAAAGGAAGGATATTCCGTAATGTTGAATGACAAAAATTGAACAAACATCTAGCCGGCCAATGGAATTTGAAATATTAATCAATGGCTAATCTCCGACATGATAGACCTCCACTAATCAGCATATAAAAGGAGAAATTAAATAACGTACCATACTAGCAACAACTAGCTAAGTGATATGGGTTTCATTTGCACCACCAATACCCTCAAAAAGTAGTACATTGTGAATATTGACTGCACTGGCATAAATCCCAAGCTAGCTCTGTAGCATAGCTATACCTATATCTATGTGGCTAAATTGTTAAATCCATCTCCAAACTTCCATGAAGATGCTAAGGGAGATGCCAAATCGCATACCAAATTAAATGCATGCTCCTTCTTTGAGAGAATATATGGTGGAAACTGATGAGAACCACGTGACAAATATGGTTTGAAGCTTGGAAAAAAAAAATCTAAAAAACACACACAGCATGTTAAGAAGGTGATATCTTATTAGCATGTGAAATTTCAAGTTCAAACAACTCTTTTCTGAGATATGGAAATAACAAACTCAACTATAAATTGTGCAGAACACTAAACGTCGATATTCATTGCTGAATATTATTTTAGTAACTCGTAAATGAACTTATGCTTGAACTTATGAGTTTCACATGCTAATAGAACGGCACCCTCAGAACATACTGTATTGTTTTTAGTATTACTGGAAACTTTTAGACCTGGTTTCTACAGAGGTTTCCTTGCAATAAATAAACAAATTGTACCAATAATTTTATTCACCAATCATTTAAGTTGTAACTTAGTCTTAACATGCCGACAGAGTATCACCTTCTTAACATACTTTATTCTTGATTTAGAAATTTTCAAAGCTTCAAAACATTGTTTTCACGAGTATCCACCGTAACTTGGTTTTCATTGATATCTCACGAATTTACCGTATAACCTATTGAGAGTTGAACAGTGTTAACATACGTTGGCTGCA